CTTTTATAATACACGCTATAAATCACAGCGAATGACAATCTCGATAACTTTGCTCTCGACGACTGCAAAACACACACTTTACGACTCACTAGCTCGAAACTAACAGAATCATAAATTACACAGAACTCAAAGTAACTACTGCTCTCTCTTCATTTATATATCCCCTGCTGGCTTTCTGTGCCAGGCTTATATACACACTTGGACTTCCCCGATCATTCGAGAAACTCATCACGTACACAAGCAGAGTCACGTGACTTCCGCTGTCGTAACACTATTAATGGTAAAATATAACATTATTAACATAATATAATACATTTGGCAGTTAAATTGAGGTATATATACAGTTTAAATTATGAAATTTTATTATTAAAATTATTGCAATATTTTATTTGTTTAATTAATCATTCAACGTAGGTCTTAATTCATCTCGAGAGTTGTGCATCAGTGTTATTGACACTCAAAATTGAGATTAATGTTATTAATAGTTTCTGAATCTATAGTTATGTATACAATGTTTGTTAATTACTTGATGTATTCTTTTGTCATATCAGAACGATGTAAAATATGCAAGAGATACAGATATCGAAATTCTTCACCCACTGGGTCAATCCCCTTCATCATCAATCTATTCAAGTATACCCTTAACAGGAGATCCTTCTACTGACTTGGATATTCTTACTTTTGTCAGGGCAAGGCAGAACATTCTGAAAAAAGGGAAGTCCGTCATTGAATAACGTGTGTAGTTTCTTGATGTATTTATTTTTTAAAGGAAACGTTCGTAACGAAACGATAAGCCATGTAAAGAAAATATAAAAATATTTATCTCTTCCTGTACGCACAAATATATATAAAAAGTTAATTGATAGAAGTATCTCAGATTGCTTTTGTAAGATTATTAATATTTGTCTGAACTTTATAACAGTTTGTATAAGCCAATAATTACTGAATAATGTACAGGATTTTTTATACCTAAATATTGGGGTCGAACTAAATCACTTCAAACACAAACAGGCACACACATTTCCAGACAACTGAACCAGTAGAATCACATGACTTTTCTTGTTTTTCAACGTGAACTCAACAGCTGGAGAAGAAAACACATCATGTGGTAATGCGTAAAAACACTTGTGACTGACTGTACACCTAAAGCTAGTGCTTTAGTCTGTGAGTGAGACTGTTTCTGTAAAAATGGGTTCATCCGAAAAACAGATTAAATATACACAGCACGTGTAAGTTATATAAGTGTGTGTACAACTACTAGCTCTCATGTCTAAATACCAGTTGTGCGTCAAAGCATAACAAATCATTCCAGTTACTGCGCATGTGTTTAGACATTTCGTAAATAATATATGCAGCCTTTAAATACAGGATCCTGTATTTTTTAGGTGTCGTCCACAAACGCGTTATGAGACACTGTATGTTATAAATATATTACAAACCATTTTATTTATTTTTTTTTTCTACGACATGGACTATACAACGAGCAGCTACCAACCCACGATATTATTAGCAAGTTTTTCAATTAAATATAATCCTTACGTGATTTGAGCCATAAAATGCTGTTATTACGTGTACAAATTACAATAGTGTATTATATAAGGACTGTTATGATTGGAACGCCTTTTTTAAAGCTGGCGAAGCATGATTATAATTAATTATACTTACCATAAAACATTTGTATTAGGCCTATTATATTTTAAACACTAATTTTTTTATTCAGGGACTGAATAAAAAAATATAGTGTTTAAAATATAATAGGCCTAACAGTATTATTTTATGACAAGTATAATTAATTAGTATTTTATATGTTTGCTTGAGTTTGGTTTTGTACTTAAAGTAGGTTGATGTGACTTCTAAACCTAACAAATTTGAACAAAAAGATGCTATCAAAGGCCCTCCACCATTCTTAACTGATGACACAAGACATTGAGCGTTGTAGCTTTCTTTCGGTTTTCTCCATACATAAACTCGTCTATTTGATGTGAAAACTGTAAAAGATGGTTCATGTGATCAAATCACATTCTTTCATTCATGTTCGTAGGCCCGTACGCAGAATGTTTGAAAGGGGGTTCTAATTTGTGAGATCAAAAGCCAACACAAATTGTGCGAAGCATGCTAATGCTACGGAGGTCTGGTGGCATGCCCCCTCACAATTTTTTTTTTTTAAATAGATGCAATGAGATTAAATCTCGAAGCAATTTCGCATGTCTCTCCATATAAAACCACAAACGTGCAATAAAAAGCCATCATTCTGTTGTAACACTGCATTGAGAGCTATACTTAAATTAGAATAAATATATTTGTTTATTTATAGTAAAGTACTGTATTATCTACATGCAGAGTAGTTATTAACTGTTAAATTATATTACTAATTTAAACAACTCTTAAGAACAGTAGAATATTAGCTGTTTCAATCATTGGCTATCATATACTGAAATAACATGTTAGCATGCTCCATTCTTCTGGGGTGCTTTTTCATAAATAACTTACATACAGTTTCAATGTTGATAGCAGTGTTATAATGATTATGTATTAAAGCTAGAGCACTCAGTCTTTCTTCGGTCTGTGTATACCTCAGGTAATTATTCAACTGGCAGAGAGCAGGTGCCGAACGTTCACATGAACATAGACTTATTAAAGAGTTTCAGTAACATAAAGATATTTGGTACACTGAAGCACGTTTTTAATCAGTCAGCCACTATCTGGGGCCTGTCCTGTAGAGGTATAGAAAACCATCTTGTCTTCCATCGATGAAGTTATTCATTAAGTATATCAGGATTTGACAAATCTTCCCTGTAAAAATCTAATGCCTGTCTCATATTAGATATAGAAAACTCTCGTCTGAGTTTTGATGGAATAAGTTTCTCAATTCATGCTGCTTGCTTTACATGTGCATCAAATTTGGAGGAAAGATTACTGATAATGTGACCAAGAAAAGAAATGGTTACTGTTTTCTTAAAGTTCTTAAAGGATTTGTTATTGACTAACTCGTGGCATGCTGACATTAATATTAGATTGGTTTGCAATATTACTGCTGTGCTTGAAGATAAGACATCTACATTCACTCTTAGTGAAGTCAGTTCATTACAGAATTGTTCTATTAGGGAAACACCAGAAACAATGTCTTGATTCGGACCTTGCCAATTTACAGAATCTTCTTTCAAATAGTAAAGGGAACATTGTAAAGCTGTTAAACAAAAAATGGCTTCGAAGGATTTCAGTATTTTTAGATAAGTCATAGCATTTTTCTTATCTTCAGTAGCCCAATTGTCATTAAACATTTTAAAATTATCATCAACATACACAATAACCTTACTTCACACATGTGAAGTAAGAATGGATGACATAAACAGAACCTTTCTCAACTTTCAATATTCTCAACCCAGCGTGTAATGTACACATTGAGTAGTGGAAGACGTGATGAAGTTGCTCCATGCTGGATGTCTTTTTGAAAAAGTACCTTTAATAGTCCTTCACGTTTAAGTGAGGATTTAATCCAAATAGCTATTCCTTTAACTTGATCAGGCCCCGGCATGGCCAGGTGGTTAGGGTGCTCGACTCGCAATCTGTGGGTCGCGGGTTAGAATCCCCGTCACACCAAACATGATCGCCCTTTCAGCCGTAGGGGCGTTATAATGTGACGGTCAATCCCACTATTCGTTGGTAAAAGAGTAGATCAAGAGTTGGCCGTGGGTGGTGATTACTAGCTGCCTTCCCTCTAGTCTTACATAGATGTTTGGCGTGCTAGTTTGTTTGTTTGTAGTTAAGCACAAAGATACACACCACGGGTATCGAAACCCGGTTTCTAGAATTGTAAGTCCGCATACATGCCGCTATTCCACTGTGGGCCGGCGTGCTAGTTTACTGTAATACCATTTTTTTTAATACACGTTTTAATAATACATTTTCACTTTGAATAATATACATATATACATAGTTCACTTTAACGAACTTTGCATTTGATGAAAAAATAAGAATTTTAGTAACCACCGTTAGAAATTAAGAATAATAAGGCTTTTGTCTAAAGAAATAAAATGTAAATAGCCTCGCCCACTGGTCGTTAGAACTGGGTATAGTTTCAAGTTGTTACAAATATAGAAAATTCAAATATTTTATTTACTTGTAACTTACTAAGGAAGTACCTAAGAAAAACTTCCAGTGAACATTACACAACTTAAGTTTAACTCGTGTTAGGCCTACTTTTCATACCCGCATAATATATTGTTGCGTATCTGCTTGTTTGTTAATTTCCGGTAGAAATTATTTCCGAGCAACTTCAGCAATACAAGTCCCTTCTTGATTAAACCAGTTTATTCTTTCTCGATCACAAGGGTTTGCTGAGATGCAGAATCTATGACAAAGTTGCACCTTTGGTCATCCAACTTCCCTGTCACTAGACACTATGTGTGCTTCCATTTTACACTTAGCTGTTGGG